CAAGCTGCTGCTGCCAGCTGCTGCTGCTGCTGCTGCTGCTGCTGCTGCTGGTCAACCTGTAGTTTGCTGCTAAGCAGCTGACTGCAGCAAACGCCCGCTGCCTATTTGGCAGCGCAGATGCAGCCAGCTACACGCCGCAGAACCTAAACCCTAAACCCTAAACCCTAAACCCTAAACCCTAAACTTTAGGCTCACCTTGTTCTTCTTCTGAATCCGAAGAGTCGCCTCCGCCTGCATGAGACAGCTCGGAGCAAGTCGAGGGTTTAGGGTTTGCAATTCGCTGCAGCTGCGCCTGGTGGTGGCCCCAGGCCTTAGCGTTTAGGGTTTAGGGTTTAGGGTTTAGGGTTTAGGGTTTGGCGTACCCGGGGGCCCCTGGGGGCCCTCCTCGCTCTCGTCTTCAGAAGACCCCACAGAACCCTCAGCCTCTTCTTCCGCGCTGCTCTCCGTCTCCGAAAAAATCTGAATCAAAATAAAATAAATTAAATTAAACTAGATTAAAATTAATTTAATTTAATTTAATCAAAATAATATAAAATAAATTGAATTGAATTAATTAAAAGACACAAGGGCTCTGAGAGAACAAGAAGCAGGAGCCGCAGGCAGCAGCAGCAGCAGCAGCAGCAGCAGCAGCAACATCAACCCTAAACCCTAAACCCTAAACCCTCGTCACCTGCAGCTTTTCTTCCGTCTCTTCTCCCTCTTCTTCACTTTCCCACGCGTCGCTCGCTGTGGAGGCCCCCGACTCCTCCTCTGCACACAAACCCTAAACCCTAAACCCTAAACCCTAAACCCCAAACCCTAAACCCCAAACCCTCGATTTTTTTCTGTCCCTTTCTTGTTCTATAGGCCTGCATTATATCACCTTCTTCGTGTCTCCTTTTGGCCTCGGCTGCTGCAGCAGCAGCAGCAGAAACACCGGGGGTCCCTGAACCCCTTTTTTGGGGGCCCCCGCCCTTTTTGGGGCCTCCTGTACCCTTTTTGGGGGGCCCCCCTGCCCCTTTCCCGGGGCCCCTAGGGGCCCCCAGGCCCTGGGGGCCCCCCTCCTCT